TCATGTATTAATCGAACAATTTATCAGTTATTATCGTTCATTATGATTTCATTGATCAAATGGACATTCAGGCGAAATTTTTAATCTAATTTCAGAAAATTTTCCTCCAAGACACCTTTGCCCAAAATTAGAAGACATTGTTAATAGGCTATTCGTAGTGAATTTGATTTTTGCGAGCCAAGTCTAATTATTCTATACTATTTAGTTTGTACTGCATTATTTCGATCGATCAGATAAACCAGTTTGTATTATTTCAAAATTTTACGAGGGGCAAATAGTTCAAAAATAACTTCTGATCGAAAGTTCAAAGCCAGGAAAATGCAAAGAAAATTCACCTCATTTTCATCAAAAGCGTTTTGGCGACCTGCTCCAATAGCAGTTCAAAATGTGTAGTAAAAGTAACATCAATAAATTTGCAAATAATCGTCCGTTTCATTATAAGTGTATCATTGAATTTCTAACTGATAATGGAACATTTTCAATGAAAATATTGTGAATTTTCAGACATTTTCTTTGCATTAAATTTATAGTTAATTTCATATATATGGACCGAATGACATGAATGTTTCTGACCTGGATCCCCTTGACTGATGATAGCCAGTATGTCGCTGAGCTTCGCGGGCGTGTCAACTTGGGCCAGGAGCAGTCCATGGTAAGCGCAAACGGTCACCGCATCACAGAAGAACTCTTTTCTAAATACGCTGCCGCACGAAGGGCCGGTGCAACTGCAAAAGTGAACGCAAGGGTTCTTGGTGTTTGTGCAGCACTGTAGCGTTTCCTCCTGAAGATTTGTTAGCACAGTCCCACCTGGGAAAAATGTTTATCATTATCAATTACCAGTATAAGAATACAACTTGAGTTCCTAATGAGCAAAAATTTTATCATGAATTTTAGGCCAATATTGGAGACACTTAATTAAATCAGCTATGGAAATAATCTTTTCTCCACGATTTTTAACATGGAAGAATTTAAGCTTAAAAGCTATGGCCTAGATTTCACAGATGTTCAGCTTATTTCTTACAGGAAAACGATGACCAACACGAGAATTCAATCAATTAGCTCAAATTACCCTGTTATTTTTTCGAGAGTTCCACATTGACTGTCTGGAAGTATGGTATTTAATGTTATCACTGTTTAAACTTCTCTGCATAAAGAAGTGATTCCAACTGAGTTTTCTAACTTCAAGGCATCTGAAACAAGCTATTAGAGGCATCTAAAACAGGCAATTAGGACACCGCTGCTATAATAGATTATTGTAGTCAATTTTTATAAACTAGAGATTCTTTATAGTACAAATTTGTATGCTACTGATTGATGCATTACTGTGCCAAGCGTTGGTTTACGATCGTTAACATTCAGGCTCATGAAACTTTTCAATACGGGAAAATTTCTACATTATTTTTCAAGGATCGTTTTCTCACCTTCACCCACTACGCTGCCTGCAGCACAGCTTGAGGTGCAATTGCCGTCGGTTGTTATCCTCTCACCGTCCAAGAACGCGCCCAGGGAGGTGAAGCATGCCGTCGTAGCTGAGATACCAGAACATACGAGCATGTTAGGAACGCAGCCGCGCTAATGTGCGGTTGCATTCTTGTACAAAATATTCGAACTATTTGACAACAAATACATGAAAATTTGTGTTTTGTGAGTGGATATGCATTAAATAGTATTAGAACAATAATTAGTTTAGAGTTGGGTAACTGTGTGATTGCATAATCCCAATGAGCCTTTCGTTAACAAAATATTGATAGTAAATAAAGCCTAGTATTCAGAAGTGGCGCTCTGCCACACAAATTTTGTAGAGTCCAGAGACAATTTGATCAGAGTACTGGGGCCGTACTATCAAAAATAGTTGAGATTTGGTAACTCTTTCAGCGAATCACTGATGAATTATTTAGTCGCTACGTATACTTTAAGTGAGGTTTAATAGTGCGGCCTGTGGCCACCTATGCTTCTCACTATTGCTTAGAACGTAGACCGTCTCTCCTGTACACGAGGGCTTGCTTGGGTCGTAGACCCCCTTCACGGCGACACTGCAGGTGCCGCCGCTGTACTTGAACATGAGTTTGCCTGTAAATCAGGAACAAAATTAGCGTTCGTGATGCGTCATGAAGAAGTAATAGCATTTCATCAGGCGTTTTCGTGAAATTCCCAATATTCCCACTGAAATTCGAATTATCGCATGATTTGAGTGGACTAATCGGTGAAAAAGAAAGTTTCAATTGTTCACAATTGCGTATTTTATAAACATACTGTGAACAAAATGAGCTTCTTAATTTTTTAAAAGTCAAATGATCAATTTAGAATTAAATCGATTAAGTTTGTCAAAAAACACTGAGATAATGCTGATTGTGTAATATGTATATCACCTGCATCCAAAGTAGCTTGGGCGCAATCGATGGTAGACTTGACGCCGCTCTTGACAACCCACGTGATGTTTTGAGTGCTCGAGCTTGTCAGCTCAACGAACTCTGAGGTGCCCAGCTCGATGGAGTAAAGGCTTCCTGACACAGAGTTCGCCGCCGCAGCGCAGGTTGAGAATAAGTTGGTTTGTAGGTTCGTTTGCAGGACAAACTGCAAGTGATAAAACCGTCGATTACTTAGAGGGCAGACTGAAAGTTATTACAGCTATTATTACTTGACGGGGAAATGGAAATGATAAAGCCTTCAAATAATTAGAAGTAGAAGTAAAATAAGTTAAATGCGATTACAGCAATGAATGCCAGCTTTTTAAACCCATAAGTAGTGCAGGTAAAATTATAATAGATTGTTTTTGAGATCAAAATTTATTTAAAGAGGAATAAAATGCGAAATAAATTAAGAATAAAAAGACAGTTTAATTCACCATAAAAAATTTCCGCCTGTAATATTCTGGCATATTTATGCTCTAGAGAAAATGAGCAATCCCATTAAAATGCTGCACGATAAAAAAAAATCATATTCACGTTCACGATTATTCATGGTTACATTTACGTCTTTAGTAATGCATCCCCATTTTTTATTCATAATACATTTTAGAATTGGTTATATCATTATTACTAACCAGAATTGTTAAAACACGATCATTTATGACAATCTTGAAGTTGCTTAAATCCACCCACCGTTTCCGAGGATTCGCTAGCGCGAGGCATTCCAGCAGACGACGTCTGATCCTGAGCGAAAATGAAAGGTGGAATAAATTCATGAGAAAAGTGCTACTCTGCGAATTATTAACATTTTGAGACGTTATAACAACATTTTTATGTGATCAAAACTGGTAGACATAAATTAACAAGGTTGCATATGAAATTAATATGTTTACTGTCATTTTGAATGTGGGCAAAAATTTTATAACGATTGTCTCGAAGACCATTTTCAGAAAAGCATTCATCACATTTCAATTAAACTTTCTTATTATTTATTTTGCGTCTGCTAAAAAGTTTTAGCCTGATATTTAAAATTTAATGCATAATTAAAATAAAACAGTAATAATTAATCCAAGAAATACCATTATTCAGCAGAAGAAAAACAACATTTTCAGATCATGACCCTTTAGGCAAATGGAATTGAAAAACTTTGATTGCGAGTTTATTTCTTTGACACAATGTTTATTCAATGTTATTTTAACATCAGATGTTTGGTGGGTTAGTATATATGAACAAGTATTTATTCCCCACCGTTGCTGAGGCAGGCGAGGCTGCCGCCACCAGCAGCGCGAGAAGTAAGGCAGGCGCGTCCATCAGTTGTTGCTCAGGCGAGGGTCGCACTCGAACTGGCCGCACCAGCGCTCTGCACCAGCACCCTGCACCAGCGCTCTGCAGCAGCGCCCTGCAGCAACAATAATTATGTCGCAAGTGTTCACAGCGATATTTACACGTGTATTAAACTTCAAATCAGTACAAATGTGCTGTGGCTGATGCAACCCATTTAATGAAACGTTTTTTCTTTCGTGAAATTTTGTAAACTAATTTCCAAAATCTTGATTCCTGGGTTCTCAAAGCTGTTGTTAAACTTTGCTCGAAAAAGTTTATATTACGCTGACGTGTTATAAACATTTAATTGCTGACGTGTACCAAACATAGCAACCGTACATTGGTTGGGTAAACAAGTGTTCACCGCAAAACTTACACGTGTAACATGAGAACGCAATAACATGAGCTTATACTTTTGTTCAAAGGTTACCTTCTAGTTAATGTATAAATTGGAACGGTCTAATAGACGAGACCTATTTGTTTTAATAGATTAATTTGGGCCATAAAATATGATATTAATTAAATGATGTCCTCCCGAGACATGTACCTCTTCGCTACAAGGCTTTGCAACAAATCGATTCGCACGGTTATTTTCGATTTGTTTAGATTCGAAAAATTTACACGGTTTTTTAACCGCTGTGTCGAACTAAAAAATATTGAAAATAATGCGATTGCAAGACAGGCGCTAAAAAGTGTTATTTGAAAATATTTCTGTGTTGCGTTCTCTACGAGATATATACAACTACAAAATTGAATGAACAATTCAATAGTTCATATCATGACGTAACCTTCAGCATGATCACAGACATTCTATGGTTACTTTGCAAAACAAAAAAATAAATAAATTATAACCTGTATATATCAATTGTACGGAGTGATCCAGTATTTACTAAACTAAATTATCAAATTCGATGTTTCACGCCGCAAAATATCAGACGCTAAACTTCAATAAACATAAACATTGCATGCTCTAGTCATACATAACATCATGGCATGAGAGGTTTGTGTTGTATAGTTTGAATGTAACTACCAGAACACATTTATTTGTACCGTCAAATATCAGGTCGGCTCTGCCTAGTGCAGTCGACATTAGTTAATATATAATAAATGAGAGGATTAATTAATTTTGTTCATATTGCGAAATTTTCCCGTTTACTTCTTTTCCAACTTTCATTGGATATTATATACCGATCATTGATGAGAAGACGGAAGAACAAAATAGAGCAGGAAGATAGAACAAGATGAAGAACTTGAGGCTAGTTAGCAAGAATGGTCGTGGTAAGGAATGGTAAAAAATCATTTGTACTGGAAAAGTCTTAGTCTTTAAAAAAATCGCAATTTTACAAGAACCTAAAATAATTTTTAAGAGATGAAAAAAAAATAGCTGAATTGTAAAAATGCTGCGAATAATTAGACGAAAATGGAGGATGTGTCGTGTAGATATAACAATATTCTAGCAAAATTATACACGTTAACCGATAGAATATCTATTCGATATTTGTTACTTCGATTTTGATAGAACTCTTCTATTCAGCTCATGAGTGAGTCGAGCGGAGTGGACTACACACTCATATCACATTGGAACTACAGGTGTTCAAACACCTGTTATCCATACAAGGCCACGAGCGTTAACCAACCAATCTCTTACAACAAAGTTGGGAAAACTTCTCTACATTTAAATTATCATTTGGACAAATTCGAAACCAAATATTCAGGAGAAATATATTCCTTCTACTAAATAAATTTTTGACCTTTACGGTGGGTGAATTTAAGAAACTTCAAGATTGTCATAAATGATTGTTTTTTAACATTTCTGGTTAGTAATGATGATATAACCAATTCTAAAATGTATTATGAATAAAAAATGGGGATGCATTATTAAAGACGTAAATGTAACTATGAATAATCGTGAACGTGAATATGATTTTTTTTTATCGTGCAGCATTTTAATGGGATTGCTCATTTTCTCTTGAGCATAAATATGCCAGAATATTACAGGCGGAAATTTTTTATGGTGAATTAAACTGTCTTTTTATTCTTAATTTATTTCGCATTTTATTCCTCTTTAAATAAATTTTGATCTCAAAAACAATCTATTATGATTTTACCTGCACTACTTATGGGTTTAAATAGCTGGCATTCATTGCTGTAATCGCATTTAACTTATTTTACTTTTACTTCTAATTATTTGAAGGCTTTATCATTTCCATTTCCCCGTCAAGTAATAATAGCTGTAATAACTTTCAGTCTGCCCTCTAAGTAATCGAAGGTTTTATCACTTGCAGTTTGTCCTGCAAACGAACCTACAAAGCAACTTATTCTCAACCTGCGCTGCGGAGGCGAACTCTGTGTCAGGAAGCCTTTACTCCATCGAGCTGGGCACCTCTGAGTTCGTTGAGCTGACAAGCTCGAGCACTCAAAACATCACGTGGGTTGTCAAGAGCGGCGTCAAGTCTACCATCGATTGCGCCCAAGCTACTTTGGATGCAGGTGATATACATATTACACAATCAGCATTATCTCAGGGTTTTTTGTCAAATTTAATCGATTTAATTTGAAATTGATCATTTGACTTTTAAAAATATTAAGAAGCTCATTTTGTTCACAGTATGTTTACGAAATACGCAATTATATAACATAACATAACATAACATAACATAATGATGTCGGCGCTGAAAATGTAGGCCTGATGTGGCCTGTCGCCGATTCTTTTCCTTTTCGTGCCTTGTTCATAGATCTAAACTCGTATCATTTGATCGGATCTTTTCATGACTGGCGATTTTCTTCCCGAGGTGAAGTACTTTACACTTGTCAGCATTAAACCGCAGCTGCCACGTATCAGCCCAGTTAACTAAGCTGTCAAGATCATCTTGCAATTGCGCTTTATTTGACACATTCTTCACTGTATTATAAACTTTTGTGTCGTCGGCATACATGGAGCACACGCTGGACACTACTTTTGGCAGATCATTTATAAAAGCAACGAACAAAATAGGCCCCAGGACGCTTCCTTGTGGCACGCCACTGCGCACTGATGCCCAGTCTGATACGGTTCCGTTAATATACAATTGAAAACTTTTTTCATAGATTATTCCACTCAAATCATGCGATAATTCGAATTTCAGTGAATATTAGGAATTTCACGAAAACACATGATGAAATGCGCTTATTTCTTCATGACGCATCACGAACGCTAATTTTGTTCCTGATTTACAGGCAAACTCATGTTCAAGTACAGCGGCGGCACCTGCAGTGTCGCAGCGAATGGGGTCTACGATTCAAGCCAACCCTCGTGTACTGGCGAGACGGTCTACGTTCTAAGCTCTGGTGGGAAGCATAGGTGGCCAGGGGCCGTACTATCATAACTCTTTTAAAGTATACGTAGCGACTAAAAAATTCATCAGTGATTCGCTGAAAGAGTTACCAAATCTCAACTATTTTTGATAGTACGGCCCCAGTACTCTGATAAAATTGTCTTTGGAATCTATAAAATTTGAGTGGCAGAGCGCCACTTCTGGATACTAGGCTTTATTTACAATCAATATTTTGTTAACGAAAGGCTCATTGGGATTATGCAATCACACTGTTACCCAAATCTAAACTAATTATTGTTCTAATACTATTTAATGCATATCCACTCACAAAACACAAATTTTCATGTTTTTGTTGTCAAATAGTTCCAATATTTTGTACAAGAATGCAACCGCACATTAGCGTGGCTGCGTTCCTAACATGCGCGTATGTTCTGGTATCTCAGCTACGACGGCGTGCTTCACCTCCCTGGGCGCGTTCTTGGACGGTGAGAGGATAACAACCGACGGCAATTGCACCTCAAGCTGTGCTGCAGGCAGCGTAGTGAGCGGAGGTGAGAAAACGATATATGTAAAATAATGTAGAAATTTTCCGGTATTGAAAAATTTTATGAGTCGGGAATGTTAGAGATCGTAACCAATGCTTGGTACAGTAATGCATCAATCAGTAGCATACAAATGTGTACTATAAAGTCTCAGTTGTTTATCAAAAATGACCACAATAATCTATTGTAGCAGCGGTTTCCTAATCGCCTGTTTTAGATGCCTCTAATCGCTTGTTTTAGATGCCTCGAAGTTAAAAAATTCAGTTGGAATCACTTCTTTATGCAGAGAAGTTTAAACAGTGAAAACATTAAATACCATACTTCCAGACAGTCAATGTGGAACTCTCGAAAAAATAACAGGGTAATTTGAGCTAATTGATTGAATTCTCGTATTGATCATCGTTTTCCTGTAAGAATTAAGCTTACCATCTGTGAAATCTAGGCCATAGTTTTTAAGCTTAAATTCTTCCATGTTAAAAATCGTGGAGAAAAGATTATTTCCATAGCTGATTTAATTAAGTGTCTCCAATATTGGCTTAAAATTCATGATAAATTTTTTGCTCATTAGGAACTCAAGTTCTATTCTTTTACTGGTAATTGATATTGATAAACATTTTTCCTAGGTGGGACTGTGCTAACAAATCTTCAGGAGGAAACGCTACAGTGCTGCACAAACACCAAGAACCCCTGCGTTCACTTTTGTTGCGGCGCTTCGTGCGGCACCAGCTTTAGAAAAGAGTTCTTCTGTGATGCGGTGACCGTTTGTGCTTACCATGGACTGCTCCTGGCTGAGGTTGACACGCCTGAGAAGATCAGCGACATACTGGATATCATCAGTCAAGGGTCAGAACATTCGTGTCATTCGGTCCCTAAGTATAAAATTAACTACATACTTAATGCAAAGAAAATGTCTGAAAATTCACAATATTTTCATTGAAAATGTTCTATCATCAGTTCGAAATTCAATGATGCGCTTAACGGAATCAATCGGACGATTATGTGAAAATTTATTGGTTGTACTTTCAATGCAAATTTTGAACTGCTATTGGAGCAGGTCGGCACTACGTTTTCGATGAAAATGAGGTGAATTTTTTTTCTTGGCGTTGAACTTTCGATCTGAATTTATTTTTGATCTATTTACACCTCATAAAATTCTGAAAAAATGCAAACTGGTTAATCTGATCGATCGAAATAATGCAGAACAAACTAAACTGCCAATCGATCGAAATAATGCAGTACAAACTAAACTGCCAAATTAGACTTGGCTCGCAAATATAAAATTGAGTACAAATAGCCTATTAACAAGGTCTTCTGATTTTAAGCAAAGGTGCTTTGGCAGAAAATTATCTGAAATTTGATTAAAAAATTAGCCTGAAAGTCCATATGATCAATTAAATCACGATGCGCGATAAGAACTGATTAAATTATTTGACTAATAAGTGAAAAGTGCATTGTTGGGAAGAACGTTGAAGTATAACTTTTTATCTCCCAGGTGTGAACCAATTTTGGGTGAACGTATGAAAAATCAACGGAACTTGGGTCCACGTTCCTAGCAACAAGCCTGTGACTGCGGGTGAATGGGCAACACCTCCTGTAGACGGCGAATGCGCGTACGTGAATCGATGGATGAGCACGAACAGTTCTCTCTACACCGCGCCTTGCGACGGGGACAAACGTGTCTTTCCTTGCGTCGATCCCGCTAAATCTCTGCTAGTTTGCTGAGTCAACTTCTGAAAAGATTTTTGCGAAGCAAGTCTTGTGGAATTTTCGGCAGAAGGAGTAATAAAAAATATTAATGAAAACGCTCAGTCATCGATTATTTACATATTTTCGTTGTCAATCTACTCGTCATATCCTAGGATTCGATGAGTCATGATTCGCCCTCTTTAAAAAATTCGTCTTTCAGTCATTCAACAGAAAGACGAATGAAGCAAAGTTCCTGAAAACGTGAAATGGGAGATTAATGACAATGAAAAGGGACATAATTCACTCTGATTGTCAATAAATGTATGTAAGCAAGGACACAAAATAACCATCACCGTCACAATAGATAGTAATACACCTAAACTTTGCGAAGTGTTTATTCGCGCTGGTTCTTAAAATACTCATGAACTTTACATTGAGGAACTATGGTACGAAAGTTGACCGTCTGCAAGTTGACAGAGGGCAAGAATTGCCTTTGAAATCCAACAGTCGACAAAGAAGTTGCTCATTATACACATGAAGTCACTGCGCTTATGGTATAGTCGAGGCGCTGGGACTAGCTTCCGGCAGTTGCCACTGCATTAAGTCGCAGGTAACGAGTAACATTACAGTTGAACTGCTTGACTCATGTCAACCGCTGTAAATTAGGCCATATTGACGGAGCCTCTAGGGAGTGTCACCAAACGTCATGCAGACAGGGCGAGACCAAGGGCAGAGATTAACGAAACTTCGCTAAGTACACGTAACTTTTCGTACTTACGTTCAAAAAGGTACGTATTGCGTAAGTCAGTCAAAATTTGGCATTAACAAAACTGTCTTACGCAAGACTCATCTGAAAAGGTATTATCGAAACCATCCTACTAACTGACCAATCAGAGGCTTCGAATTTGCCATTCCTAGATTGAGTAGATTCTGCCTCCTGTCGACTCAGTGCGCAGTGCGCGTGGATAAAAGGAGGTTGTATTGTGGCAGCGTCATCTGCGTTGACTGACTATATAGGGAGCATATGGAAAAACCAGATAACCGAACACAGCCCCATTCATTTACAATTATTATCTGCAACATACAACTATACTAAAACATACGCATATATACAAAACATTATATACTATTAACAAACACACATCAATCAAATTTACTTTCAACAATACACATATATATTAAATACGTGCCCGCGCACATTTCTCTCACCACTCGTCACTCATAGCTATATACTTACTTTCATGAAAAAACACCTGAAATAAAAAAATAAAACATCTAACAAACACCCGCCGTGTATTCTCAAAACTCATTTATAATACTATCCTCGTTTATCATCAAACTCAAAACAATACGTCACATAACTTATAATAACATACCATTTAATAATTTTCCATACCATAACTAAACACAACCTAATGCCATATAACCTTACATAACATAACCTTACCTCACTTGACCCAACCTAAATAAACCTGATCTAACCTGAATTAACTTTATCTAACGTCCCCTAACCAAACTTTACCTAACGTAACCTAACCTAATCTAATCTAACCTAACCTCCTATCCTAACTTAACTTATTCCTACATACCTAACCTATTCTAACCTAACAAAACCTATTATAACATTACCGAATCTAACCTAACTTTACCTAACCTAATCTAACCTTACCTAACCTGATCTAACCTAACCTAACTTTACATAACCTAACCTAACCTGATCTAACAAAACTTAACTTTACCCAACCTAACTTTACCTAACCTAACCTTACTTAACCTGATCTAACATAACCTAACTTTACCTAACCTAACTATATCTAACCTAACCTTACGTAACCTGATCTAACCTAACCTAACTTTACCTAACCTAATCTAACCTTAACTAACCTGCCCGAACTTGATCTAACATAATTTGACCTAGTCTAACCTAACCTAACTTAATCTAACGTAAACAAACCTAAAATAATCTAACATATAAAAAATGTACACAAATCTAACCTAGTTCATCCCAACTTAACCTTTTCAAATATAAATTAGCCTAATTTAACGTAACATAACCAATCCTAACCTTTCCTAACCAACCCTTACCTACCCTGACCTCCGTTAACCCGAAAACACCTAGTCTAATCTAACCTATGATAGTGTTAAAACGTCTCACTATCACTACAAGAGACGCAAATCTAGTTAAGAATATCTAGTGTCAGTTTAAATTTGCATTCCAGTTAGTAAAGTTCATCACAATAATCGATCACGAAAATATATCGATATACTGGATGATGTCACCATTGTACCTCGCCCAAGCACGATTCTCACAGGTGATTTAAGAGAGAGCGATAACTGGCATATACTGTATAGCCGTGGCGTCATGAAACCTTACTCAGGCTAATCTGTTGCAAAGTCAATATCTTGCATCCTATTGCGCGTTAAATGTAGCTCAGACACACAATTTCATAGCCAGAAGCAGGTAAGCTCCCGATACCTTTACCCAATAAATGTTTTTGCCACAGTTCATCCCAAAATGCACGACCCAATCACTATTAGATATGGATTAAATATATATTTATTTGCAGTCACATCAATATCTATTTCCCCAACTCCGCCCGCCCCCTCACGGGAGCAATAGATATTATAAGGGAGCACTGTGACATGGTCAAAGGGCCAGGCAACTGCCCTCTGGCCAGTTGCCTGGCCTAAGGAGTTTAAAAGAGGGCATATGATTATGGCCGACATGTGCGCAAAGCTTGGAACCTGCGTCTTTCACCCATCTCCAAGTAGGGAGTCAATTACATAGGTGCTTGGAGTTTCATTCTACATGAAGCTTCGATT